GTAGGGGAGGGGGGTTAAGGGTGGAATTGGCATCGTCTCACCAGTATCTTAGAGCGTTAGATATTCTGAACTACTTCATTTTGTTATTGAACATAATTATTATGATTAATTCTCTCCTAATATATTTCCTTTAGGGAAAGAAGGAATATTCTCTTCCCTTGCTATTTCTCGTCCTTTGCATTTTGTAATCAACCCCACACCCCTTCCAGTTTTTCCTATTTATTTATTATTCTTCCACTTTGATCTCCGTTCTCGTGTTCAGGTTGTATAAAATAATGTAACCGCAAGAGATGAAATGAATTTTAATTTATGTAAAATTTAGATGTAGGCCTACAGTGTTTGTGTGCTATTATTTATACAACTACTGCATATGCAAACCAGTTGTGATGATGTGCATTGAAAGTGATAAGTTGGTGGAACTTTTGCTCAATTCAAGAACAATTTGGTATTTTCTCCAAAATAATGGTTGAATTAAGATACGTGCAGGAAGACCTAAAGATCAGTATGAAATTTAAGTTCACGTGTAACTGTGTCACGGACGAGAGTCCGATAGGCAACGTACGACTTCCGGATCAGAACCCTTTTTTTTCTGTAAAACGAAAGTGATGAGTAGCTCTGATATATCATGCATCACTCTCTATATCAATCATCCATCAATATTCTTTCGTGTACATCTGCACGTAGGACCCAGCTGAATACAACTGCAATGGTTTCCTCTCTTCAAATTGTTTTAAATCACTCATGCGTGAAGTATGCATCATATGAGTTGCATCGGATGAAACAGGAGGATCTAAGCTTTACAAATATGTGTCATTTATTAAGTATAATTGTGATAAAGTTATGATAAATAATAATAATATTTCTTGGTTTTGTTTTTTGGGGGACGCACTGTCTAATATGTCTTTGTTGTCTGTTTATTGTTCATCGAGAAAAACATTCCGCGTAGTGCGGCTCCTATCTCTGAAAGAGAAGTGTGAGTTCCGGATGAGATTAAAAAAATATTAAAAAAAAAGTAATTTTCTGCCTTTCCCTTTTTACTTGTGTGTCAGTTGTGATATAATATCAGAGTAAAAATTTTCCTGACATTTCTTTTCAAAAATGTAATGATTGCTCTTAAAGTGCCCTCAAATTAAAAATATGACGACATATTGATTGGACCAAAATAGTTTGGACCAAACATTTGAGATGCCCCCCCCCCCCCCGCCACCCTCCTTATAAAAAAGTAATGTTCAACTCATTACACTCATGGATCCAGTCACATGGCTTGGCTGGCAAGCTGTCACTTCTGACATGGCCTGCTTTCAATTCATGTCAATCAGCCACGGAGCTTTCTCATCTCTGTTATCTTTTCATTCCTGTTTCAATCAATGGCTCGTTTAGTCTTTAAATCTCTTATTGGTGATTCATGGCGGAAAGCGACTCAGGTTGAGACAAGCAAAACATTTATAAGAGCAAAAGTCAACCGATTTCCGATTTTGACGCAGGAGGCGACGAGAGATGGGAAGCCCGTCGAGCTCTGACTAGAACGAATATCCATATCCAAATTATTTGTTTAATAGATACTTCACAGTTGGACCCTAGGATCCATACCGCAACCGCTCCCATTGATACCCCTGTAGGCTGTACAACAAACAATTTAACCATCTGAAAATGTCTCCTTCAATTTTCAGTTTAGAACGATATGAACAAGAAAGTAAAATGTACGATTCGATTTTGTCCGACCCTACGCCCCTCGAAAAAATGAGACAAACCTTGGCCGCGTAAATTTGGACGATATATTTGAATAATCGTTTTTTGAAAAAGTTGTCATTGTGTGAAATCTTTCAGAAAGAAGTGTTTACAAATAAAACATATTAATGTATTGCTGCAGTAGCAGTGGTGTGCTATAAAAAAGTATTGTGGAAAATAATCATGTCCGATGTCATAAGACTTTGACAAGCCTCCCCTGACAGGTACAGTCCAGTTGATCGTATTCAAGGCTCCCGATACCAATGTCAGTGCCGTGTAGCCTTGGTCTATAACGTCAAAGTCATTGCCAGAAAGTCTGCGGGGCCGGAAAAAAATTGTTTTATGGGGCGATCAGCTGACAAGGTCACTGGGATGTCCTTGGAGGACGAGGCCGAAAATAACAACAACAACAACAATAACATTAATAACAATACCTCAACTACTACTACTATATCTACTACTACTTTTACAATACCACTAAATAATAATAAAATAATTAATAATGATAACAGCGTTAACACTCATAACAATGAAAATATTAACAAAAAATTAGTAGTGAAGATGAATATTTTTCACGAAAGCTACCCAATTTTAGAGCTAAAAAGAATGTTCTGCGAAACCGTTTGGATGATCTCCAGTTTCATAATTCTGAAGCGTGCATTTAATCTCGGTGATTGATATTTTGGAAAGCGCTTCACCTGGTCTTTCCAACAGCGAACTACAATAATTCATGTGCAAATCGACTCTTCAGAAATGTAATATGCTCAGATGACTCACTCCCACGCAACAGTCATTGTGGCATTATCGACTTACAGGGGTTGCGGGTTTCAGGGGCAGTCATAGTCGAGATAGTAGGCCCACGCCCCCTTTAAAATTTAACCTGGTATATTTGTAGTACACAAGATAAAAATGTGCCCCCACTATATTGTGTTCTTGTGCCCCGTTTCAGATTATAGACCTAAACTGCACTTGAAAAATATGGTACCCTGTTAGTTTGTTAATGGTTTTGCTTTTGTTTTGTATTTGGTTTGGGGCTTGAAAGATACTTTATGAGTAATGATTAAAAATAAATTTGATTGGGATGATGATTTCACTTAAGTAGAACCTACAAACTATTTTGGGGGAAGGGGGTGGGCCTTTGCAGAAAATATTAGGCATCCCCCCCCCCCCCCCCCCCCTCCTATCCAGAATCCATTATTCGCCCTTATTTCAGAGCATATATCGGGTTCCAGTCCGACAACATAGCTCTCGGGACGGTAAGGGGGCGAAGTAACACTTCACAGCCAGGGAGCAAGACGTGGGTAGGTCCATGGTTCAACCTTCCATCAACACCGATTGTATACTGATGACAAACTGGTTTAAAGGGGATCAAATGTACTGATCTTGCAACGGTATTTTGTAGACGAAAACAAATATCAATAACAGGTATATCAATGATAATAATAATAAATCATAAATGTAATTGCATTTTGAAAATATGTGGAAGTTTAATGTTACCTGATTGTATTTTAAGCTGTAAAACTTGAAACATGAAACTTTAACTTTTGGTCCACTACTTTTTAGTACACTATAAATTTCAAGTCATGTTAGAAATATCGCATTTTAAGAGCTATCTCTTCATGAGATATTGTCAATTTGATATCATTCGACAGGAAAATAGAAAAAGAAATGAGAAACCTCACAAATTATTGTTCACCTTTAACCTAGCTCAGTAAGTAAGAGAAACAACACTAGACTTTGGTTACAACGATAAGTAAAATGTTCAGATAATTACTCAAAATTTCTAATTTATTATTCTAGGCTTAACAAAATATATGGCGAGTCATCTGTCGAAAAAATTCTTTAAAAACTCCATTGTGGCTGAGAAAGACTCAGTACAATTGCATAGGTACGGGGGCGCATGCTCACCGCGTTCCCCCCCCCCCCCCGCTCCACATCGTACGGCCCAAAAAAGAGGAGAAATGAAAGGGAGAGGGGGAAAGGGAAAGGAACATGAACAAATTACGATATCACCCCTGTGGAACCCTCCTCCTAATCAGCTGCCTAGTTATTCGCATTTCATCCATTTTTAAACACCCCCCCCCCCCCCCCCCCATGATGGTCAACCCTGGCTACGCCACAGACTAACGACGCCGCCACGCCAATGCATTGTCCCATCTATGCATATCCATGTCGGGTGCTTTCTAGTCAGACAGCATGACTCTAGGGTGATGGATGAGACAACACATTTACAGCCCAGTAGGCATGGTGTGGGTGGCACAAGATCAATCCTCAAGTCAACATTGATACAATCTGAGCGATGACAAACTGCTACATAACTCTGCCGGATTCATTTTACGATCGTGCATTTTCATACGTGTGACGACTGGGTAAAATCCCCAGGCTAATATAATGTTGCCTCGAAAATAACAATTTTGAATCTGGCGCCGTATGTGTCAAGTTATTACTTTTTATCTTCCCCATTTTCTCATTTCGAATAGTTATAACACTCTCCCTGGTTATACCATGAATAATTCCACATGTGGGGACTGGAAAAATGCCCAGGGTAATTTTATGGAACCTTGAGGATAAATATGTTAAATTTGGCGCTGGTATGTGTCATGTTATTACTGTTATTATCCGTATAATCTCATTTCTAATAGTTTTACCACTGACATTTACAATGGCGTCGCATTACCGTTTCTTTTCAACTTTCCAAATATCTCAATATTGGGAGAGAACATGCAAGCTGGAAATGAGGGGTACATTCGGGGGAAAATGTTTGATTTTGATTTTTAGTCTCAACAAAAATTGAACACCTGTGTTGACATCAATGGAAAGTGCATTCGTTTTATTGTATTTTATCTTAATTATATGTGATGGGCCAGATGGCAGGTTGTCAAAATGTACTTTCCTCTCATTACATTTTACACGAAGGGCACGAATGTTGGACATACACCGTCAAACTTTGGAGGGGAGGGGAGGGTGCGTCACGTGGATTTACTGAGCTCATATAGGTAGACTCACTGCAAATTCCCCATGATCCTTAAAACGAGGGTGGGGTGTAAACCTACAGCATCCAATGCCTTATTTTCGGTCTTTTGGGCGTTCGGTCTTACGGAGACTTGGTCTTATGGACCTTGGGACAACTGGTCTGTGTTCGGCTTTGAGTTTCACGCCAGGAAACATGACATTACCAATTTAATCAGGGAGAAATGTATCCCAAAAACTGGCATCGAAATAAATTTAATTATATCTTATTGAATTATGTATTCTAATAATCTAACACCAACCTGCGTGTTTCCGTACACGTATTCCCCCGCCAGAAAGTGCGGCAAGGCAAAGATGACGGACCCGACGCTGTACAACATGGACGCCATCCCGACCCACACCGGTTTACGGCCGCGCTCCCCGAAGTAGCTGACGAAAGCGCAGACGATCAAGTTACTGATGTCGTAGGCGATGACGATGAAGCCGCTTTGGACGCTGGTGAGTCGGAAGCGTCTCTCGAGGGTGGTGATGACGACGGGAAGGTAGCCGAGGACCGTCATGTTCTGCAGGAGACCCAGGACACAGAGGACAAAGAGGTAGCCCTTGGGGTTGTTGAATACCTTGGAGAGAAAAGAAGATTTTTGTTTTATTTATTTGCTGAGTTTTAATTTCAAGATATGATAGGAAGTACATGTATAAGCGTAGACAGCTTCTTGAAGGAACAAAAAATCAAGTATGCCGACAATAGTATCGAGAATAGATAGTGCCGGTAAAATGTGTAATGTGCCGTCAAAATATCTAAATATGCTTGAGAAAAGCCAATCGAACCCCCTATTCCTTCCAAGGCAAGCTAAAAGAAAATGCACTCTTCACAGTCACAAGTCATGTACATACCACATGGTATGCATGTTCTATGCCGGCACTCTTTTTTACGGTCATTACTAATGTTGTGATTATTCATTTGAAATAAATAATTTTTTTTTTTTTTAGTATTCAACTGTGCAGACCTCTGTTAGAAATGAAGAACCTTAAAGCAACATTCCCATGTTTTTATATTCTCCACTTTTAACTAAAATCACAATATCCTCTAAATCCTATAATCTATATAACTTTTGAAACATAAATATTTGTTAGAGATGCATAAGGCATACAACATTTAAGATATTCTCCAAATTCAACATAAAATCCTGAAATTAAACGGCAACTATATCTTGTGCAGCAGCAGCTGTGCACGCCTTATCTGTTTATGATTGATATAACTGCCTTCTTGTCTAGATATCATACTATTAATAATCGTAACATCAGTGAGATCCTATCAGCCCAGTTAAAACTTCAACATGTCTAGAATTCCTTTGACATGATATCAATAGCAGATAGAATTTCAGTATGATGGAACACAGCTTGTGGCCAATTGGACACGATTTCTTATTTCATTTTTAAGCGTACAATAATATGCTACGAGAGCTTGACAGGGAAATCTCACGTTACGTTTGCTCTACGTGTGCATTGCAAATACAGACAAATAATTCATGTTTCCTACATCTATATTCATCAGAGTGCCCTTTGAGATGAGACAAGCTTCGTTGGTTGCCATGATTGATTATCATGACAACCATACTTGACAGGACGGTGAACATTTACTTCTCATATTAAAGTATCGAAATCAAGATCGTTGAGTGAGCTCGTAAGTTCGGAGAACAAACACTTGTTGAAAGGTCTCCATAAGGTCGAGGAATAGACATGGCCCAAAACAAGAACATGGATAGTCTAATGGCCTTGTCTTGTATCATTGTCAAGGCCCAATCATCTCCCTGGTCTAACAAAATTGAAACAGTGATGTGCACGTCCTCAAATATTATAGAAGTGGAAACAGATCCAATACTTCATGAAGTGAAAAATTTAACTCATAATATGCCGTAAACTTTGTTTCCATGTTATCATCAAGGAATAGTTATAACACAAAGGCTTCAAGATCAGAGTTGTTATGCAGCTGATCAAGACCAGAAATGGGTAATTTTACAATGCCATTGTGTTGCACAAAGCACTCCTTCCGTCAATTGTTGCCTTTAATATTTTGCACGTGAGGCAAAAAAGCGACCATGCAGAGAGGCGACGATAGCAACCGAAGAGTTAAGGATGATGTCAGGTCTCAAATATTGTAGTCCTACATACTATACATATATTTTTACTTCAAGGTGATGAATGGGAGCCTCAATATAGGACTGGTTGGCCCCCTTGTGGGTTCACTGCGCATTAAAATGTGATTCTGTAATTTAAACTGACAACCACGAAGAAAAAAAAAGGATATGGTAGTCAGTGGAAACATCGTTTGTGAAGTGGCATTTATTGAATAAATATTTGATGGTGTTTTTATTTGCTCATTGTGTGCAATTGGAACAGGTCAGCTTCATTACAGGTTGGAATTTAATGCTTTATGTTTTTGCGACAATCCGTAATATTAAAAATTGTATTATTCATTATTTTGAGGTTTTTTTTAAAGAATCTCCTTGGTGCCTCAAATACAAGTCCCTATCAAGAAATTAAAGAGTATGGTCCAATTTCACCCCGGCTATGCAAGGCTTCCGATATCGGTGCTCACATCATTCAGGGAATTTCTTCCTACCCTTAGGCCTACCCATTTCACACCTGGGTGGAGAGTGGCAAATGTAGATTCAAGTCTTGCCAAAGGACAGTAGTGCCGCGGCGGGACTCGAATCGCGAACCATGTGATCCAAATCCCGGAGACGTATCCAATAGACCACGAGACCTCTACATATTATAATGTACATCCTTGTTTACGCCCAAAAATGCGAAACCCGCATTCAACGCCTACACAATGAACAGCCCAGCCAGGGAGTTCCCGTTGACTGACGAGGCAAACTATGGGTGATATAATTCAACAAGGATAACTGAGGACAGTAATTGTCACTCAAATTACTGAATTTCCTGAATAATGAATGTGGGAAATATTTATAATGAACATCTGGGGAAATTTGATGGAGGTCATTTGAGAACATAGACGGGGGTTCAAATAAAGCTTTGTGTCATTATGAAGACATGTAGCGCGGCCATCACCAGGTTTTTTTAAAATAAAACAAATGCTATTATTTTTGCTGATTTAAATAACTTCACAGGAATTGATGAGCAATGAGGAAAGTTCGAATATTAGTAATTTCACCATCAACAAATTAGGGGTGGGTCTGTATTCCTTCCTACCTTTGGCTAAGTAGCTTAAGATCAGCAATCAAGTATTTGGGATGGTGGTGGTACACACTCAGCTCGATTATTCAGGGGCGTTGTTCCTGGGGAGCAGGGGGCAGACCCCCCCCCCCCTCCCCTGTCATGGAATTAACAGTACATCTTATGCAGATCGTGTCTTTGCGGTCCTCTTTTTTTTTTTAAACAATGTCCTACTTCTGTACGCCGTCACTTTGATTCATTCGTAAGTTTAGATGACAGTCTGTGACGCGTGTAACATATCTTTGTTGGTATGGCCTTCTGCCCATTCATCCCTCTGTGATGCGTAGTAACATATCTTTGTTGATGTGGCCTACATTCTCCGTCAGATAGCGATACATGACAGAGTTATTTATAGAGGAGAAGATTGAATGGGATGGGCTGGAGGAAGTTATCTGTGTTGTTCCCTGACCTTGATTCAGTGATGGGTCCCCTCACCTTAACGTATCTTGTCGTTAAGGTCAAACCTTGTAGTATCTGCCATGCCCATGCGGTGCTATCCACTACGGACAGGCAATATGTACTATTTCATATTTCATGAAAATTAAAAGTGACTGGAAATATGCATTTGGAGAAAGTATTTAAAGAATACATAGCCTTTAAAGTTGTAAAAGGTGAAATCTACACTCCTTTATCCCCCCCCCCCTTATCCGGTTTGCAAATACGGGAATGTAAACATTATTGTCTGTTGAATGTCATCTTGCTGTGACACAATCAGGGGGTGTTTCACAAAGATTCTTAGTTGAACTTATCTGTAAGTTGGGCTTAAAAATTATGGAAAGCCGTTAGCATCTTTGAAAATATTTTGTAAAAGTTATTTTGAAAGGCATAAAATTTTGATTTAAATCATTCATATTTTCTATCATCAAGGAGATTTCATGTTCTGGATTTGGAATTTATAAAAAGTATAAAATACTTGAATTTCTGCTTTTGAATATATTTCATTTTAAGACTCCAATGGCTGTCCATAATTTTTAAGTCCAACTTAGAGTTAAGTTCTACTTAGGATCTTTGTGAAACACCCCCCTGAACTATATTCGATGAATCAACTCAAGGGCAATGTCAAAACCCTATTGGATATCCAATAGAAATCATGTTCAAGTGACGTAGTACACGTCATTGTCATATTGGCACATTTCCATAGGCAACGTAACAAGGTATCAAAATAGCCATAATAGCGATTGTTTCTGTCAATATTAGGGACTTTTAGATTTGCGTGGACTGATACGTGTGACGTCCATTCAAAGCAGTGCATTAAAAGGACGTCGATCGTAGCAATCCACGTTGTCGTTGTGCAAATCTAAAAGTCCCTATTAGATTAGTGTCTTCGCCACTAAAAATCATGAATACTTTATACAAATTGCAAGGGATCCAGCACGGGTTATCTTGTAGTATATCTGTGGCGGATTAACAGAGGGAGAATTATGAGGACATTATCTGTGTTGTTCCGTGACCCCTATTCAGTGACGAATCCTTCATTTTGTCTGTAAGGTCAACCCATCTTCCTCTCCTAATATCCGTCGTGCTTTCCGCTTCGGACAGTCCGGACTTTCTGTTTGATATTTCCAAAAAATGATGAAAGTGATTGGATTAAGGCATCAATTTATGTTTAGAATCAAGTAATACAACGGAGAGCCAAAACGGACTTCTATTTTGTTTTGTTCTGTTCCGTAGTCCGTTTTACAATCACGTGTTTGCAGAAGAGAAACTTTACTCGATTTCACTTGTTGTTTATTATTTTCTTTATCTATCCCGTAAGTCAGTTCGTTCAGTTGATAGCTTGTTGATTTATTCGTTTGTTTTATCCCTCTTGTTGCAAATAACTGATTACAATCAGAGCCCTCCCCCCCCCCCCCCCAATAAAAGAAAAAGAAAGAAGAAAAAACAAAATAGATTTTCGAGTGTCTTGCAACTGACACTGCCAGGATCACCTTGTGGTATTTATAGGGGAGATAATGAGGGGAGGAGCCATGTTGATCCCTGACCTTTATCTAACGATGGGTCCATCAACCCATCTTCCTCATCTCTAGCATCCGTCCGGTTGCCATCTAAGGACAGGCGAGGTTTTGACAACGAATGCATAGTATTACTTTGTTTAAACAGGGAGATGACATTGTGATCTTCCTGGTTTAAGTAAAAGAAAAGTGGTATGATTATGTGGAAATCTTGGAAGGTTGAGTTCTGGGAAGAGGTGAACAAATATTTGTGAGCGTTATCATTGTTATTATGCAAGTGTGGAAGAGCATGAGATAAAAAATTGTTCCCTGAAAAGTATGGCTCTTCAAATGCCTTAATATTCTAAATATGGCATGTAACAGCATAAAAATAGGGACGGATTTTTATGCCACATGTTCGTGTAGTCCCATATACATACTTCTGTGTA